TGTGGCGGACTCAACGATACCATTATACAATGTAAGTAGGTACAGCAAGATACAGTTGGAGTATGTGGCATAGAGTTCAAGTGGTAGCCCATCGGAACCAGGCGCCTTCGCAGAGGCCATTTGAGACATCACCATTGCAATCTCATCTGTTGTGAGAGGGGCTTCCAACATGGCTACCAGGTCTGGCATTAACTTGGGGAAGAGTAATGATGTAAAATATGTTCTCATGGCCTCCATAGAGGGTCAGAAATGATGACCCCGTCCTGGGTACGTAAGGAAACCGCCTCCAGGGGTCTAAGATTATGGTGGTTTAGATATGCCAATAATTTTCCTGCCTTTTCTCCATGTTCAAAAATGCCCTGTTTGCAAAAGAATAGATGTTCCAGTTGTGCCAAGTGGGCCTCAGTGGTGTTGAGTACCTGTTTAGAGGTACGTTTCAGGCGGGAAATGCGAAGAGTAAGCATGGCCCTGGCATAAAAATTAAAAGGCCTCTTGGGGAATCAGTATTATCTGACTCGACCTGTCCATAGCTGGGTCCAAGACCATGTTAAAATCCCCCAGCTAGATTTCAGGTGTTGTAGGGTGTTGGGACATGTAGGCCAGACCCCCGTTGATCACCACAGAAGTACAGTGGATATAAAAGGTCTATACACCCCTGTTAAAATGTCAGGTTTCTGTGATGTAAAAATATGAGACAAATATAACTCATTTCAGAACTTTTTCCACCTTTTGATGTGACCTATAAACTGTACAACTCAATTGAAAAACAAATCTTTTAAGAGGGGGAAGTAAACATAAAAACTAAAATGATGTGGTTGCATAAGTGTGCACACCCTCTTATAACTGGGGATGTAGGTGTGTTCAGAATTAAGCAATCACATTCAAAATCTTGTTAAATAGGAGTCAGTACACACCTGCCATCATTTTAAAGTGCCTCTGATTAACCCCAACTAAAGTGCAGCTGTTCTAGTAAGTCTTTCCTGATATTTTCTTAGTCGCATGCTACAGCAAAAGCCAAGGTTTGCAGAGAGCTTCCAAAGCATCAGAGGGATCTCATTGTTAAGAGGTATCAGTCGGAAGGGTACAAAAGAATTTCCAAGGCATTTGATATACCATGGAACACAGTGAAGTCAGTCATTATCAATTGGAGAAAAATATAGCGCAACAGTGACAATAACAAGAACTGGACGTCTCTCCAAAATTGATGAAAAGATGAGTAGAAATCTGGTCTGGGAGGCTTCCAAGAGGCCTACAGCAACATTAAATGAGTTGCAGGAATATCTGGCAAGTACTGGCTGTCTGGTATATGGGACAACAATCTCCCATATTCTTCATATGTCTAGGCTATGGGGTAGAGTGGCAAGACGGAAGCCTTTTCTTACGAAGAAAAACATCCAAGCCCAGCTAAATTGTGCAAAAAACACATCTAAAGTCTCCCAAAAGCATGTGGAAAAATGTGTCATGGCCTGATGAAACCAAGGTTGAACTTTTTGGCCCTAATTCCAAAAGATATGTTTGGTGCAAAAACAACACTGCACATTACCAAAAGAACACCATACTCACAGTGAAGCATGGTGGTGGCAGCATCATGCTTTGGGGCTCTTTTTCTTCAACTGTAACTGGGGCCTTAGTCAAGGTAGAGAGGATTATGAACAGTTGCAAATACCAGTTAATATTGGCACAAACCTTCAGGCTTCTGCTAGAAAGCTGAACATGAAGAGGAACTTCATCTGTCAGCATGAAAATGACCCAATGCATACATCCAAATCATAGGAATGGCTTCACCAGAAGAAGATTAAAGTTTTGGAATGGCCCAGCCAGAGCCCAGACCTGAATCTGAAATTGAAAATGTGTGGGTGATCTGAAGAGGGCTGTGCACAGGAGATGCCCTCGCAATCTGACAGATTTGGAGTGTTTTTGCAAGGAAGAGTGGGCAATATTGCCAAATCAAGATGTGCCATGCTGATAGAATCATGCATGCTGATAGACTCATACCCAAAAACACTGAATGCTGTAATAAAATTAAAAGGTGCTTCAACAAAGTATTAGTTTAAGGGTGTGCACACTTATCCAACTATATTATTTTAGTTTTTTATTTTCACTTCTCTCCGCCTACAAGATTTCAATTTGTTGTTAAACTGAGTTGTACAGTTCATAGGTTACAATAAAGGTGGAAAAAGTTCTGAAATTATTTATCTTTGTCTAATTTTCTTACATCACAGAAACCTGACATTTTAACGGGTGTGTAGACTTTTTATATCCACTGTATAAGGCGCAGGAATGTAACATGCAAGTAGGAGTACAGGGCGACCATGAATGTTAGCCTGTAGGAAAATAAATCTGCCATGTGGGTCCGTGCTCAGCTTAATTAATTCAAAGAGGACCGATTTGGCCACCAGGCCGAGACGCCCCGGGAATAGGAAGAATAGGTGGTGTGGTATGCCCAGCCCACCCAGAGGCGTTTTAGGGCCAGTTGTAATTGGCCTGTAATAAGGGCCTCATCCAAAACAATTATGTCCACCTTCTGTGCTTTAAGCTATGTTAGGATTGTGTTTAATTTCTGTCCCGCATACCGCAGACGTTACACGTTAAGAGTTTTGGGTGTGTCATAGGGTGGACCAATAGCAGAGTAGACAGGAGAATGAGCATCAGAAACAACACGGCAATTTGCCGTACAATAAGTATATGCAGTGGTTTATGTGCATCATCTTGGACTAATAGGCTTCGTATAACAACAGTAGGGGTGCAGAAAAATATAATTACATTGCCACATAGATCTTTGCATAGTTTACCTCCCACTCAGTTCCCAACCTCCCCAACTTGGCCAGAGCATACAACTCAAAGCTAAGAACAGACAACATTATGTTCAAACTCAGAGTCAGTGGTGTATCTGATCCATACCAACCCTGTGGATCCACAAACCTGACTCTCCAAACTGTAGGGAAGGGGCGACTTGTCAATGGTGTGAGCTACTGAGTGAGGCACACAATAAGTCCTTAAGATGTAATTTAAGGAGTGCTAATGTGGCAGTGCTATCATACCGGAGGACCGGTATCTGCAGGTAGATGTTAATGTTCATGCGAGATGGTATCCAAATAGAGAGAAATTCTGGCGGGGGGAAATTAAAGGGGGAAACAGATATGGAGTGAGGGGAAGGAATAGCAAGATACATGAATAGAAGACCTGGACAAGAAACGGGTGCACCTGGATATATAGGCTGAAGTGGAAAAAGATGTATAGTATCCAGGTTGGGTGCACAGTAGCAGATGGCTGGTGATAAGCCATGGTGTGAGGTGTGGCCATGTGGGGAAGGAGGAAAAGTAAAAAAGAACAGTTGCCGGATCCCACATGGTGTGATCATCTTTACTAGATAAGCGTGAAAATGCAAGGAGGTACTCCTGGAGAGACAGCCAATCGTAGGTACTCAGGCCGGAGCCGTAACCATTGCGGACCTTTGATCAAACCAAATGGACTCCAAGTCAGGGTTTTCAAAGACGTGGACGCGGCCTTCTGCCTCCCAAGTGGAGCTTGGCAGGGTCCTTTTAACTGCATCAAAGCGGGATCTTCGCCGCTGCACGTCCGCTGAGAAGTCAGGGAAAGCAGCCACTTTGACATTCTGAAAAGGAATATTGCCTCTTTCTCTTGCCAGTCAAAGGACAGTGATTCAGTAGTTAAGGAGTTTAGCTATGAATGTACACGGTAGTGCGCCTTGCGGTGGTGCCTTGCAGGTATGCGGTGGGCTCTCTCCACCAAGAACATGGTGGAGAACGCAGCCCTGCCATAGGTGGAACACAGGAGGTTTTCAAGAAAAGAAGCTGGGTCGGATCCCTCAGCACGCTCCGGGAGACCTACAAAGCGAATGTTACAGGTTCTCCATGTCATCCTGCTTCTGGGTGATCTGCTGTACCTGGCATTGTATATGCTCTGTGTTGTGCTGGAGCGGGTGTAGCGTGTCTTCCGCTTGGCTGATGCGGGTCTCTGCCTCTGTAACCCTGTCCTGAAGTTTGTGAAAGTCCTGGTGTATTAGAGAAATATCAATCTTGACCTCGTCTATTTTCGAGGTAAGGGTCGCTTGACACATGGAGATCGCTTTCAGGACCTTAGTAGTCTGTCGCTGGGTTCTCTGCGTCTGATGTAGAAGTACCGCCATTTCCACCCTGAGCGTCCCGCTCCTTGTGGCAAAATTTCTCCAGTTTTTAGAGCTGGCCTCTGAGGCTTTGCGTGGGGGAGACATATCAGATAGTCCAATAGGGTAGAGGATCACTCTAGAGCACAGTAGAAAGGTCAGGATATTTAGCAGGATACCTATGAAAGGATAGAATGAAGATGGAGCTCCCCTCCTGTGCACTTTACTCCACCGCGTTCCAGGCCACGTCCCCGCTAATAAGTGTATTTTGACGCCGTGGAAGTCTCCCTGCTGTCAGAATACAAAGGCTCAGTGAGAATGATTCCCATGTGCACATTGAATGTGTAGATAGGGGTACCGGGTCAGGTTTTTATTCAATCAACAAAGTAGTTAAATGAAAAAAATGCAGCCATCTATGGACTGCTTAAGCATCTCTTGACTTGTTGGCCCATGTTTACCTTTTAAATTTATATCATCGTGGGGGTCCATTGCTTTCATCAGATTTTTAAAGGAATCTGAGGTTAAGAAAAAAGAGTTTATGGATTCCTTGAGCTGTGTGGCTTACTGACCTCCCATTTGATGTTGCCAGCATATGTTGATGTTTCCAGTGCCAAGCCACTTGAAATAGTCAGGGTCATGACACCAGTGATCTATTTTAGCTGTGTGTTAGGGTGGCATTTTGACTGCCACTCTAAGGGGACAGTTTTTCCATTGACCATCAGTTTTAGGGCGTTTGTTTGCCACTGACCTCCCCCATAATGAGCTGTTTTTAGCAGAAGTTCTATAGTTTATTTCAAGGGTTCTTTTGAGGTAAAAGGGTTTGGAGAGGCTGATCTAAAAAGTTCATAATTTTTATATTGTCATTTGTTTTTATTACAGTCTGGTTATTATAAAAGTGTTAATGCAATGGCGAAAGACATCGATCTGCTAGCAAAGAATGCTAAAACCTACAATGAGCCAGGTTCGCAGGTGTTTAAGGTCAGTAAATGAATACCTTATAATTATTTTTAAGTCAGATGCAGTACATACAGGTGCACGTATTATGCATGCAGTAGAGCATCCAGTGCAGTTTTTCCTTAACTTCAAAATGTGAGTGTCTCCCATGAGAAGTAGTTCAATTTAGCAACTCGTAAGAATCAAAGCCATGTAACTGTATACACCAAGCCAATTGGCTCAGAACAACCTATTTTATCTAACAATTAGAGTGCACTTGGAGGGCATTAAGAATGTTCATCAGGCACCCCTTTCAACACCTATGTGTGGAAATTATTAGGTCAGGTTCATATTACATGTTCAGTAATGTGCTCTTGTTACTGGAATGCATGATAACACAAGAACTGTGGTGCATTGAATTACCATTAGTTTTGAATGGGCAGCCCAGCACACTCCAGTAGACAGATGTGAGCCTTCTGTGCTCTCTGGTGCGCTTAAGAAAAATGGTGCATGTTTGTTAAACGTATCACCACTATTTAGTGAATACAAGCGGCGCATACACCTCACAGTGTTATCATCAAAACGTTAGTGATAAATCTCCAATTATCACTCATACATTATATATCATTCATTATCTTCACCATTATCTTTGTAAAAAAAAAAATATATATAAATTAATAAATGTAACACATAATGTGATATCTCAAAAAAAGTCCTGTGACAGAAATTATATATAATAAATAAAATCAATTAAAAAAGTCCCGTGATGAAAAATAAAAAGGAAGAAATTAAAGTCCAGTGATGAAATAACTTCATGTGGCGAAAAACTTAAAGGTATAGAAAACCTTGTGCAGTGCCCACCGTGCACCCCCACTCAGGTGTGCACTCACCAGATATTGCCTTTGTTAAAGCATACTCAAGAGGATATCCACTATTTAGACCAGGAGGTTCCTCCAAGAACAGCCCACTCAATGATTGATTGCCAGGATAATTCAAAACGCCACTCTACCATAACATGAAAAGAGAAGAACAAAGAATCCGCTCCAATAGTATATTACCCAGGATAGATAGCTTTTTTTTTTTTTTGTGGCAGCAATAAGTTTTCATAATTTTTTGTTTTCTTGGATGTCAATTTTTTGCATCAGGCGCGATATAGTGACATTTGGATACGTTTTTCAAGGTGGTCACTTATAGAGCATATATATGTTTGTTAAATGGTCTGCTGTTACGGTGTTGGCAGCCTTTTCAAAATGTATGGACTGCCTTTTCATGACACAGATTAATATGTATGTGGTGGCACACCACAAAAGTGTGAATCCAGCCTTAAAGTGAATGCCAGACAAACATGTTGGGCTTTTACTAATATCCAGGGCTGCGTTAGAGAGATTTCCCCTCATTGACCTAGTGATAGTGGTTTCACCAGACAGGAGGTGATGAGAAAATCTGGAACAGGAATGCAAGGAGTGGGTTTTTTTGCAGTTCTCCCACTGTACTAAGAAAAGTAGCATTTTTATTTTTGTCTGTTACAATTGGAGATTTTACTTCTTGTCTTGTGAAAACTCGACCAGGGTTCTAACTATACTCCATTGTATCCATGCTTTATCACTGTTATGTGATAGTTTATATATATTTTTTTTTTTCAAGATGTGCAAAGAGAGATCACACAAACACTTGTAGGTAAAATCAAACTGCATATAACATTTAGTTAATAACAGAAATAACTACTGTAAAAATATTGGAAAAAGGTAACAAGGTACTTGGCTGTAGATGCCTTTCGCCAATGAGTTCTCGACGGCTTCGAAAGATGCCATAATGCAGTCCTGGTCAGAGACCATCTTTTCTGAGTTTGGCTGTGGTATGAACAGAACAAATAGACAGTAGTGAACAATTGTAACCCTTGGAACAGTAGTATTACCTTTTGAAGAAAGATAGTATACATTCCTAAAGGGGCTTTGTCTTTTTGGTCAGTTCATAATGACACTTCTATAGTATGAAGTCAGCTAAGTAACCAGTCTTAGGATTCAGTCTTCTACAGCGGGTAAAACAAGTATTGAACACGTCACCATTTTTCTCAGTTAATATATTTCTAAAGGTGCTATTTACATGAAATTTTCACCACATATCGGTAACAACCTATGCAATTCATTCGTACAAAGAAACCAAACCAAATTAGTTCAGAAATTATGTTATGCATAATAAAATGGAATGACACAGGGAAAAAGTAGTAAACACATGCATACCCCTAGAAAAATGGTGACGAGTTAACAATAAGGTAATAGGAACTTTCTCCGTCAATCCAAAAGAAAAAATGTTTTGAATATACTTTCGTGTTGTAGTACAATTGAATTGTCATCCTGTTCCACTGTCTACAAATGTTCAGCTAGGATGAATGTTTATGAATCTTTTCAGTGAAGACACATATTTATTCTTTTTCTTCCAGGATGCAAATAACATAAAGAAACTTTTTGCCATGAAGAAGTCAGAAATTGATTATACAGAATCTTCCAAGTCAAGTTTGCGTAGCAGGTACAGAATTGCTCTCAAATTGTTTCTTGTATGGTTCATCGGGAAAATATCTGTGGGATATATGCTCTGCTTATTGGGGTTTGAAAACCTCTTTTTGTTGTTGAATTGATGTATTAGAAACCAAGTAAAAGGAATGATTTTCTGACACTTTATACCTACTACTGCTTTCAGGAACAAGCGACCTGCACAGGGTGATAGATTGGCTGCTATCACAATGGCACTGCAGTATGGCTCAGAGAGTGAGGAGGATGCAACTCTAAATGGTAAGCTTTCTGTATGGAAGTCCACACCGTATCTCCTATCTGCTGTACCAGTTCTGCTGTTAAAGCTGTGCCAGCTTTAGTGAAAGCTGACCTAAATGAAAAATGATTATTCCTAATGGCTTTGCTCATAAATTAATCAACCTCAAGAGGGGTTAAAAATATCTGACTTCAAAAAAGGATACATAATCAAATTTTGGCTTTTTGTTTGTGTTCTCAGAAGTGGATTTTGGGCAAAGCCACTAATTGGTTGGCATTGTCTGAAAAAAAAGTATCTAAGCCTAGTGCTATATGGGTGATCTTTAGTACCTCAGGCACACTACTAATTGACTCCAGTAGTTACTGTGGGTGTAAATAAATTGTTATGGCGATAGTGCAAATGGTTGCCTATAGTGTAGGCTATACAAGTGGTATGAACATACATGTGTACAATACAGATATTGTGCGATAATGCAAGATGAATCGTGTTTGCATTCTTTTGGTCTAGTTTCCCCACTCGAAGATGTTTCTTTTGATTGTGTTCTCTTGTCAACTCAAAATATGGGATTTTCTTTTACTTTTACATAACTTTGGTAACTTTTGTTATTACTTTTGATAACAGTAAACAGGGCAAATAGGGTGATTCTCCCTAATGGGGCACAGACCGCAATATAAGCTGACAGGTGTTCTAATCCCTCTCCACATTGTCCAAAACTAAAATAAAAAGCTTTTATTTAACTTGATCATTTGCATAGCTGGGGCATAAAGATAAAAGGCTTTGCTTGCTGTATACGTGAAGTCACGTAAATCATTTTAGCTATAAACAGGTGGTATTTTCAGAAGTTGGATAAGCCACTAAAAATAGGGGGGGGGGGTTATATGTTTGGTCTTTGTTATGTATCTTATGTAAAAACCCAACAGAAACTGATTTAAAAAAATGTAACTTCCGTTTTTTTTTAGTAATGTGTTCTCTTCTACATAGAAAACATTGCCCAGTACATAATGTGCTGGATATGTGGGCAATCTTGCATTATTCACTATGCACTGCTATGATCCCTAGGTCGCACAGCGCTGCTTCCCAGGACTTCTGGGTAAGGGAACATGCACAGTGAGTAATTCACATGCACTGAGCCCTAAGGTACAGTACAGTCTGCAGCTGCTCTCAGTCACTCGCAGGGAAGAAGGAGAAGCAGGGAGTGGCTTGCTGCCCCGCTATCTCATTTTGTGGATGCAGGCAGCATAAGGAGACTTGTCTTTTTGTTTAAGCTAGGAGTGCACATGCAAACGTGGTTCATTGAGATCCTCTAAGACCCTGATGGAACAACCAGAAAATGGGGAAACCAGAGAGTACTTTAAGGGGCAGAAAAAAAGCAAGCATCAGGTGGTTAAAAGGAAAACCACACAGCAAATATGATATGTACTGAGGTCTGCAGCATTGTATTATTTTTACATTGAGGGTTTAAAAACACATTAAAACTGAATTCCTTTGTTAAAAGAAAAAAAATGGAGACACACTATGAGTTCTGTCCAGTGAGGTGCAGGACACTTCCTGGGCTTAGCTCTATTATTTATATTTGACAGCTTTATAGTACTCCTGGGAGATGGCTATCGCTGTAGTTCCGTAAGCCAGATGCTGATCTTTCAGAGCTCTGCATCTTGAACAAGATTGTTGCTGCAGCTACTATGTTTGCCAGATCACACATTCACAAAATACAAAGGCTTCTGTGAATGGACAGCCAAGGAGAGGGGCTGGCATAGCTACTCAGTGTGCCTCTCTCCTCTCAAATCCCTGGAGTTTTTCTTTGCAGAGCAATAAACCTGTCAAATGTAAATAATAGAGATAAGCCAAGGAGATGTCATGCAGCTACTTGGACTTAACTCATAGTCTTCACTGTCTTCACTTTTTACAAGGTGGCTGAATTCCTGGAATTCAGCTTTAAAAGAGAAGTTTGGGGGGTTTCTTCCCCCAAATTATACCTAATCTAGGTGGATGCAACATCGGTCCGATGCTGCATCTGTCCTCCGCCTACTCTAAGTGTGAGAACTCGGCGATCTCATGACCACTGATCGCTAAGTTCTTACCGCCGCTGTGAGCAGAGAGCTGTGACTGTTAGTCACCACTGTCTGCTCTGCCCCTCTCACTCACTGGAGTGCTGGGCTGTGAAGGGGGAGGGAGTGGCTGGCTCAGGCTCCCAGCAGATTGCTGAACGGCTGAGCCAGGTGCCGCTCCAGACTCTGGGGTGGATCCCGAGTGGGATCTTTCCCCAGCTTGGACCATCTAAATTACATCAGCCGACAGTGACTTTAAGCCCGCTGTCAGCTGAAAACAGGTCACAGGAGTGCAGAATGAACTGCACTCCTGGATCCACAGGAGAAGTACAACCAAAATAGCTTTGACTGTACTTCTCCTTTTTAAAGACTTTTCTGAGTGTGTATATATGCATCCTATGTTGTTTAGGATAAATAGAGGGCACACACTTTATCTTCAATAGATAAAAATAAGTGAGCGCACTACAAGTAGCAGCTGAACACAATAGGTAACCAGATAAAACCTAAAAGTCAAAAATAAAATAACGTAGTGCAGCGCTAAAAATAAAACTGGTAAATTGCCTTTATAATAAAATAAATTAATCAAAGTTCATGAATATCTGACAAAGTATATTAATGAATCGTTGCTCCCACTGCTGAACACCTGTGTAATTAAGTGCAGGACAGAGACACACACGTATTGCTCTAGTAACCTAAGGAAAAATGGCACCCGCTCTCATGCATGCGCAGTAGTTAGGATCTCCTCCAAGATGGCGCCGGCGTGACTAGCATCCCCTCTGAAGATGTTTGTGCGTACGAAATGCGTTAGGAGGAGCTGGTTATGCCGTGCCGTCACGCCGCCGGAGCCTCGTGGAGGTCCAGCTGCCATCTTGGATTTGGGACGGTCAGTCCATGTTTTATTTTGCTGTCATTGCGATTGATGCATCAGTTTTAATACTCGTTTTTGGGAAATAATATCTCTCAATAAATTTTCATCTATATACTACACTATGGGCACCCCTTTTGTTTAACTCCCTGGTGGAGTGAATTTATTTGCAGAAGCCCATCTAAGGTCCATCTCAACACCCAGAGAGGGGATCTCCTGTCTACCCAGGATACTGCATCCACCATACCCTGTAAGGGATCTCTGGCTGTTTTGGATCAGCTTTAAACCCTGGAATCGCCCGCTGTGACATCTACCCTTTAGAGGAAGGATTACTTTTCACACACTTTATCTTGCTGATGTTGAGATTAGTTTTACAGGGCAAGTCCCAAATTGATTTACTGGTACTTGGCATTCAGAACCTTGAAGGAACACACTGCTGATGTTTAGTGGGTGCTAAAATCACTAGCCGTACATATTGGTCACTACACATATTGAAACAAATTGCTTACTATGAATTGAGCCACACTGTACCATATAGTAACGAATGATTCCACAATGCTCCAAATGTGTACATTTAATACTAGAGAGTGAGGTCTGTGGATGAGGGCAGCTTTTACTGGTGATAAGGATACTGAGGAATAAACTTTAAGAGGGGAAATATCTCTGGTTTCTCTTCCTGCACTTTATGCATGTGCAGGCAAACAGTGGTTTTTAGAACTGCAAGTTAAATAAATAGAATATAGCACAACTACGACTTTGCCTAGTGTAGGCCATGTAGTAATGATTTGTGACCATGTGAAGAGGGCGTTTTAATCAAAGAAGCAACCAAGAGGCCAGGGGTAACTCAGCGGTAGAGTTCACTAAAAAAAAAAGCAAATGAGGAATAGGTTCTCTTGTCTGGTCCATGCTGAACACTGACTGTAGGGTAACATTTTATTTTGGATTGTAGTTTTTAAAAAATATTTTGCATCTTCAATTGTTAAAGTATTTAACGATTGTTAAGTTATTTATTTTAAATTAAATGTTAAAAATCCTAATTAAATTGATTCTTTTTTAAATTTAGTCCAAGGGGGTGAATGGTTGAATATGCCATTCTGAAAAATGCATAATTATATTTTGTAGTTCTGTTTAATACACAGCTTTCTATACTGATATTTTGTATTTGTTACTGTAGCAGCAGTAGCAACAGCAGCAGTAACAACAACTCCACCATCCATCCGCTATGAAGAAGCAGAGTCTGAAGGTGAAAGTGTTACCTCTTTTATGGTGGGGACATATCAAATCCATTATACCAGCTTTATGAGACTGTCAGGTCTTGTCGGAATAACCAGGGTCAACTGATTGCTGAACCTTTTTTCCAACTTCCATCAAAGAAAAAATATCCCGATTATTACCAGCAAATCAAAAATGCTATCTCACTGCACCAGATCAGGTAAAGAGATGACTGTTTTGTTTTACCTTGTTATAGAGTGAAAGCAGCATTCCTTTGTTACCTTTTGAGAGTAACAAATAAGTAATATCTTAATCATATAATACAGGACACAAGGCTTGTATTGATAGACCGTGGATTATATGTAGCCACCTCCATATGACTGGTCAATGGCAAAATAAATTGTTAGGGCTGCCCAGAGTTCACCATGCAACTTCACCTACTCTGTGAGACTCCTGTTATCTTAATTGTACTGTACAGGACATAGACTTGATATTTCTCAGGTTATAGGCTGGTACCTTCAGGTGATTGGACACTGGCAAAGCTTTTGATTACATGCCCCCCAGAGGCTGATTCCAAGTCTAAATAAAAAAACAAAACACATTTAATGATGTATTAATGATCATAGACCTGCATTAGACTGTTCTTTTTAGTATCTGTCTGTATTTGAGCATTAACAGCTCTGTAGTGTGCAAAACTCCTTTACTTACAAATGTCTCTGCTATAGGAAGTGCAACTATCTTTCTCAACTTGCTGCAATGCTGACACTGTATTTGATAACACACATCTGCCATAATGGTCCATTATGAATCTTCTATTCATGCAGCAGTTTTATCACTTCAATTAAAAAATGTAATGCCCTAAAACACACTGCCTAACAAGTTTACTATTTTGCAAGGCTGCATTTGAATAAGAACCATGTGTCTACCTTTTGTCCAGTAATGGTTTTCCCCCTCTGACTAGAGTTTGGTGGGTATGCCAACTGTCTGTGTTTAGTTTCCTCACATCATGTTTTTCCCTATTGCAGTTCCTGAAAATGCTTTCCCTATATTCACACCTGGTGTATTCTGTTTGCACCGAAGCATAACCATTCTACCGCAGGTCTTAAATGTGATTAGTGTCCTTATTAAGATTTCACTTCACTTCCTGGTCTGTCTGTCACTAGTCACAAGGACAGGATGTAAAAAAGTGACACAGAATTAAAACAAACATATTTGAGGTTTGACCCCTCCACACACCACGCATTTTAATATTTTTTTTTTATATTGAGGCCTGTGTCCCCTTTAGGAGATTTCCTTTGAATTCCTTTTTTGTCTGACATTTGTCAAATTTTGGAAATGAGGATAAATCTTCCATATGGGCAGAGGTAGTCGGAATAAAGTTCTAACCCCATATATGGGATCTTATAATTATGTTTTCACTCCTCCAGTTCGTGTAGGTGAGTCCAGTGATAACTTTTAAAGTGATATCTTTCTTTTACCCTGTGGAACCGAGCAGATAGTTTACCTACTGTTTTGCTTGTTATTTGCCATGTGCAATTTTAGTTTTAATGTATGTGCCGAGCCAGGGAATGCCCAGAGGCTCTGTTTTGTAAATGTTCGTTTTTTTTTGTTTGAAAACTAAACAAAAATAATTAATAACGTTCTAACCCTATAATGAATGTAAAGCTATAGTTGAAGTCTGTCCAATGCATTGGTAAAATGTAGATGACAAATGAAATTTTCCACAGCTTTTTTTTTTTTAATAATCTGTGTTTCCTCCCTTTTATGTAGAAATAAGCTAAAGAACCAGGAATACGAGAGTCTGGACCACTTGGAATCAGATTTAAATTTGATGTTTGAGAATGCTAAGCGGTACAATGTTCCAAATTCTGCAATATACAAGAGGGTGTTTAAATTGCAGCAGCTAATGCAGGTAAATATATTTGTTTATTTTACTGTATTCTAAGAAGTGATATCAGCTTGTTTTATGAATACAGAATATTGGCATTGTTTTTCTCAGCTTACCCTACTGGACTTTTTCAATATTAGGGAACAATTTTGTATGCTTTGTCTGTGAAAGAGTCTTAAGTGACTTTTATGGGTCACTGTAAGATTAAAGCGATACTAAAGGCTCCATTTGAAAAAAAAAAAAATAACAAACATGTTATACTTAACTGCTCTTTGCAGTGATTTTGCACAGAGTAGCCCTGATCCTCCTCTTCTGGGGTCTTCCATCAGTGCTCCTAGCCCCTCCCTCATGTCGGGTGCCCCCAGAGCAAACAGCTTGCTGTGGGGGCACCCGAGCAGGTGTGCTCCCGAGCTGCTGCTTTGTGTGTCCATTTACACATGGAGCCGATGCTCGGCCCCGCACCCTCTCACTCCTCATTGGCTCACTGGATGTGATTGACAGCGGCAGGAGCCAATGGCTCCCACTGCTGTCTCAGCCAATCAGGAGGGAGAGTCTGCAACTCTCGTGCACGTCGCTGGATTGCAATGGGGCTCAGGTGAGTATTAGGGGGGCTGGGGGGAGTGCTGCACATAAAAGGTTTTTTACCTTCATGCATATAGTGGATGAAGGTAAACAAAAAACCTTGAACCTTTAGAACCATTTTAATTGCCCATACAGGCTAATTGTAAATGTAGGAGGGTCTAGCAGTCCAAATAGAGAATGTTGATGGAGCAGGTGGGAAATGATGAACTGTTTGGCCTAAGGGATGTAGAATTGTGCGGTTTCTCTGGTGTCTGGTAAGCACCTGTATAGCTTGTACTGCCAATGTAGTTGGTGTCTGTAGGTATTGGACTGTTCTTTCTTGACCACTGATTAGACACTGGCAAACAAAACTGAAAGTCAGCCCAGAACAAAATCCCTCCCACAACCAGCATACCTCTGTTTTTTTTTTTTTTTTCGTGTGTCCTAGGTGGATATACGTCTGTCCATCATTTCTGCTGTGTAAAAGACTGACTTTTTCTTCTATTCTTTGAAGTTTTCATAAATAAAAACTCTCTGCATTGCTGCTGAAGCTCCTCGGTTACAGCTGTCTGGTGCATTTGTCTTTAGCCTGGCCAAGCAGGGGCAGGAACTATCACATTTTACTTAGGTGGCTGAATGCCCTTATTCCTATTTCTACCAGTATTGCTGCAAAAGACGGATAACTGCGGGACTGCGTGCTGACATTCACTGGTGCAGTGTTACAAGCATTACGCACTAACTTACCTGCTATATAGCATTGTGAAGCATCTCCCTTCTTCTGCTTGCAAAAATCACACAAAACTTAGATCTTTGATCCTGTAATATTGCCCACCTACAAGGAATTTTCTTGCTATTCTGATCATCACCTGCTACAAGCTGTCCTGGTTTCAGGAGCACCTGAGAATATGTATCTTACCCTGACCCCATATGTGCCTTTACTGCCAAGCAGTTGCATCATGTCTGATTTCTAGACGCTGAGAGGGGACTTTACAATGTACTCACAGTCTACTAACTACCCTGGGGCTGCTTGCATTAACGACTGCATCCTCTGCCCTTTCCTTGAGGTTTTTACTATGATAATGCAGAACTTTATGGCTAAAATCACCCAGTTATTTGCTGACATTCTCCCACAGATCCTTTATCTGAGCTGCCCTGCAGCCCTAGTGGTTTGTGAGCCATCCACTTTAACCATTTCCATACCGGACACTTTTACCCCCTTCCTGCCCAGGCCATTTTTCAGGTTTCAGCGCTCTCACACTTTGAATGACAATTGCGCAGTCATACAACACTGTACCCAAACTAAAATTTTATAATTTTCTTCACACAACTAGAGCTTTCTTTTGGTGGTATTTAATTACTGCCAAGGTTTTTAATTTTTTGCTAAATTAACAAAAAAAGACCGAAAATTGTGAAAACAAAACAAATTTTTCTTTGTTTCTGTTATAAAAGTTTACAAATAAATAATTGTTCTTCATAAATGTAGGCCAAGATGTATTCTACTACATGTCTTTGGTGAAAATAACCCAAATTAGGATGTATTTTTTAGTTTGTAGGAAAGTAATAGAGTTCACAAACTATGGTATAGATCTGAATATTGATCAATCCTGAAGTACTGACAGCCAATTTAATTTCTTGAGGTCCAAGAATGTCAGAACAGTACAGATATTCCCCAAATGACCCCTTTTTGCAAAGTAGACAGTCCGGCGTACTTCATAAGAGGCATGGCGAGTTTTTTGAAGTTGTATTTTTTTTTGTCATAATTTTTCAGAAAATGAAAAAATGAAAAAAATTATTTTCACTATTTTTTTTTTTTTACATACTGTCACCAGTGCAGTACAGTGTCGTCATATAACTGGCATGGCGGTGATCAGGGACACTGACTGGTGACAGTATGAAAAAAAAAAATCTTTTTTTTTTTTATTATTATTATTTTTAATATTTTATTACAGTTTTTTTTTTTTTTTTTTTAAGATTTTTTTTCATATTTCACTGTGTCCAAAGTAGTACAATGTTACCATAGTAACATTGTACTACTTTGGAGAAGTGATCAGTATTTTTAATTTTTTTTTTTTTAAACAATTTGCTTATAGCAAATAATTACTTTGCTATAAGCAAGCATTTACCTGAATGACATCGATTCATTCAGGGTTTTTTTTTTTTTTTGTGCTTAGCTGTGATTTGGCCACAGCTAATCACATGACATGTGCATGTGATCACTGTGACCATTCACAGCTAGACACTAGTATACAATGGATGGCATGAATGAAGCCATCCATTGTATACAACTGTCATGTGACCTGCTGTGATTGGTCACAGCAGGTCACATGGTACCGGCAACAGGGGCCGGTACTCAGATCTGTCATTGGCCGTGTCCGAGGTACACGGCGGTGACAGATCGCGCCGCTGTGCGGCTCTGCAAGCGTGCAAACTGCGCATGCCCGGGAGGACGCCATATGGCGTCCACCCGGAAATCTACAGCATTTTGCCGGCCGCCAAACGGCTATTGGCCGGGCGGCTATTTTTTAAAAACTGTCTTCTGAGTTACTCCATTTATTGACTGATGAGCTTACCCGAGGAGTCAGTCTAATGCCATTCCTCCAAAATTAAAACAGAATGTTTATGCCCTTATTAATGCATTGCACGCCACTCTGAAACTTGAGGGTCAGCCTGATCTACCAGTGTTGTTTCCAGTCTTGGGTCATTACAAACTCCTAAGGCTGCAAAGACTTTTCTTTTTATCTGCCTTTCAGACTACTTCTTTTTTGAGTTTGAATGCTTCCCGATAAACCTGTTGCTTCCACCAGTTTTGTTTTCGGTCTAGAGTCATTTAAAGTCATTTTATGGACTGCTTTAAAAACTATTTTTCTTTGGTGAGTGGAATCATCCTGATAAGCCTATTGCTTTTTATCAGTGCTGTTTTTGCTTTAGTGTCATTTAAAACTCCTAAGCCTTACAATGTTTCTTGTAGTCATCACCTCTGTGTCCTGAAAGTTTGAGACTTTCTGTGTTGTTCAAGGGATGAGAGAGAAACTTTTTACTTGGTGTGAAATCCTACCCCTCTGTGTATACAATCGTGGCCTTGGTACTGCTTCACAACCACACTGGGTAATAGGGTTATGCTGGCAGGTGTTTAGTTTTTCAGTTTGCCAGTGTCCAGTCCTTCTGTAGGCAGAAGTATAACTTGAAGAAACTAAGGCAGGCCATAAATTATGCAATTTTCTTTCCTTCCACCATGGATACAACCAGGGTACCCATACATGGATTGAAATTCGGCTGGTCCCTGCTGAACCAGCTGAATTTCAGTCCCTATGTGTCCGGCTTAAGAATTGTTGATGGTATTTGTTTTTGCTGAAGGGAAGCCCTTTTGTGTTGAAAGTTTGTTTAAAAGCCAGCAGTATTCTGTGTGCTTGTTGTGATTGGAATCATTCTAATATAAATAACACTGTACTGCCTGCAACAGCAAATTACATATCAGCTATGAAATTTCCTAGCTGATTTTTCTATATAATGTAGTGTGTGTTCACTTCATGAATTTTAAAGCTTCATTTTCAAAACCGGCTAGAGACTAATATTATCTAATCTAAACAAATATCATCTAAGTATGAGTTATTTGAATTCTTGTGAGTCTTGGTGTCCTTTGCATACTTTTCTAGATCTCTGCAGTAATCCAGCATGAAACAACTCCCACACATTCTGATCAGACCCCCAACAAACCAACCCCCATGTTTTTTTTTTTCTTGGAGTTCAACTCTTTGAAATCCAACTCCAGAATTTTAAAAAACTGACATAACAAAACTGCCATGTATTGAAATGTTTTGTGTAGGGGGGGGGGGGGGTGCTTTCAGAAAGTAAGAGGTCTTTGTTTTCTTTAAATAGGGCTGCAACTGACAGTTATTTTCATAATTAGGCTTCATGTGCACGAGCAGCTCCTAAACTCGAGTTTAGGAGCTTTTGGCATTTTTTTGTCCAAGCTCCTAAACTCAACTCCATAAAAGCCTATATGTCCATGTACACATAGGCTTTTAGCAGAGTTTAGGAGCTGCTGCATTTAGGTGAGGTTAAACCTCCCTCTCCTGAACGTGGAAGAATCGAGTTCAGGATAGGAACGTTTAGACTGCCGACTGCGGGAGAACGTAAAACCCGGCAACCGCTTTACTGCAATTTTGCCTCGGTTTGCGTTTTCCTGCTGCTGGCGGTCAGGGTAGGCTCATGTACATGGAGCCTTAGTCGGCTGACCTTGATGTACCATTTTTTCCCTTTATTTTCATTGCTGCGCTGTGTATACTGAATTGTAAACAAATAATGCGTTCTCTATGCAAGCTAACTAATCGGTTAACCAACTAATCGATAATGCAAATCGCCGACAACTATTTTTCTTATCGTTTGTCAGTTAGTTGTTTAAACCCTATCTTTAAAGCCTAAGCCTCATTTACACTGGGACGTTTTGAATTGCGATTCTGCCC